TATATCAAATAGATGCGCGTGAGTTATTCTGTGTATATTAACCATCGATCTAATAGTGTTGACTATGATCAGATAAATAGTATCAGAGGTTCTTCTCATATGCAGAAAACATCCTTTCGCTTTATTTAAGTTTTTATTTTAACAAAAACTCGAACGATCGATTCACAAAAAATTTTCAAATAAACGACAAAAATTGCATGATCTTTAAACACAAGGGACATATATAACAAAAACGAAAAGAGAATTGAGACTACAGCAAACAAAAATCTACAAACATCTCAAATGGATAATAAAGCAGTTATCTCTATAATAGTTTGAAAATAACGGTTATTTCCTGATTTTAGAATATCTTCATCAGGAGATAAGAAACACTTTCGTGAATGTCAGCGCGGGACGTCGTTTCGATGATATCTAATAAGTTGAATGACTTGCGAATTTTTATAAAGCGCTAGTTCGAAGTGACGGAACACCTTCATGATAAAATTTGTTTTTCTACGCAATGATTGTAGTTTAGACGAAAGTTGGAGAAGAAAACATTCAAACGAGTTTTCTTTCAAAAATGGTGTCCGGCTTATGGAACTCTAAAAGTTTGTATCATTTCTTACGATCATTGATTAGGTTACCTGGATTGTTCTACGGGTGTAGCGTTCTCGAAAAAAACTCATTCACGTTGGAGTTATAGAAGCATTCACGTAACCGAATCTGTAGTCGCTATTGAAATGATACAAACTTTTGTATTCCTCCATGCATTATTCTCTCCATTGTAACGGCCGCTTGCCCGTTACCTTTTATTCCTTCTAATCCAGAACATTCTGAGGTTTCGTTTTTCGTTCTCAAATTTGAACCATTTTCAAAATTCTTAGTTGTGTCTTACGAATATGAAAAACGAAGACACATTCTCTTCGTGTCAAGATTTCGTTTTCAAATCAGTCCTTTCTATTCTTCTTCTGAAGAAAACTCAAAATCTCTGTCTTCTTCTTCTCTTACATTCGCAGAAGAAGGAGCTCAGCTCTAACACATTTCATTACACATCAAAATATTTCAACATTGAAATATAATTTCATATTTCGTTTAATTACAATACGTTTTCACTTTTACTCTCTTCTGTTTCTTCTTCGTATCCAATTCACCAACCGTTCATTAAAATTGACCGATATCACTATCATTAAATACATTATTACATTAGAAGGAGAAAAAGAAGCGAATTATTTAAACGTCATACAATTGTCACTGTTCTTTATTAACTGAAAAACATATTTTACTACTGATTTAAAATTAGCTTTGCTATGGTTAATAAAGCACTAGCCATTGTAGATTCAGCTCCTTCTAATTTGAGAAATTCTACTTTGTTCAAAGGCTCTTCTATATGAGAAAGTAAACTTCTTGAATTAAAAAACAAAATATTTTCACCATAATGTATTATACTGTTATTTCTAACCATTGTAAATTTTTAGAGTGTTTTATAACCGCGTTCCTCGGAGACAGAAGAATGGAACAAATGAATTATGATACAACCAGAAGAAAAGAAAAGAAAAAATGATTCTTATCACCATAACTACTCTCAACGAACGATAAAAAAGAAAGACAAAAAATACAGTATTGGAAAAAATTATAGAGCCACTGTATTTTTGAAATTTTTCTATGGTGGCTAGGTCGAATCTGAATAGTGAGTTTGATAGCCCTTCAAGTTCTCTATCAAATGCAGTATGTCAAAATTTCAGAAAAAAGGTTTTAAAGAAAGTTTTCTAGAAAATCCCTTCCAGCAGAGCTGTAAGTCCTAGAGAATTTTAATAAAAATATTTTCAATAGAACCAACTAAAAGAGCATAAAACTAAGAAAAACATGAAGCGCCGCACAGCTCTCCACGATCTTTCGTTGCAAAGTTACAGGCATCTTACAAAATCCGGAGAAATGTACTTGTTTTTTTAGATGATCTTAGCGTTTTTTTCGTAAATTAGAGTATTTCTTTGGATTTTCTAGTGCCTGTAACATTGCAAAGGAAGATCGTGGAGAGCTGTGCGACACTTCATTTTTTTCAGAATTTTATGCTCTTTTAGATGGTTTTATTGAAAATATTTTTAGTAAAATTTCTCTTGGACTTACAGCTCCGCTAGAGGGGATTTTCTAGAAAACTTTCTTCAAAACCTTTTTTCTGAAATTTTGATGGATACTGCATTTGATAGAGAACTTGAAGGGCTATCAAAATCACTACTCCGATTTGGCCTAGCCACGCGGCTCCATCGAAAAACTTCAAATATACAGTGACTCTTCGTCGTTTTTTCCAGTACTGTATCTATAAACATATTCATTTATATTTTTAATAGGTCTTGACAAGTTTGAAAAGTTAACAAACACTGACTTGTATCTATTTCAAAATAGATAGGCCACAGATGTTTCTGGAACATTTTGTGAATGAAGAGAGTTAGAGACATACGCTTTTCAATTCCTGGAAGTAGACATTGATTTATGGGGACATCAATCTACGAAAAAATTACTTTTCAAAATCATTTTTGTGTATTAATCCAATGAATTTTAGAAACCAATATGTGCATTTTGTAGAGCTCGGTGAGTCCAACGAGAAAGGAGTTCCAGTAATGAGGTCCAGAGAAAGGAGGTCCAGTAATGAAAAGCGAATCCATTCTAATGAGGGATGGTTTTCTATTACGGGGAGGGGTTTGTTCATACTTATTCAACACATTTGAAAAAATTAATTACATTAAAAAATATGTTGTAGTCTCAGGCACATAAACTCTACTAAATGCGAAGAAAGTTCTTCTCAACATAAAATAAAATTGTGATTCAATTATATTTAGATGAGAGCAGTCATTCTGCCTCTCTATCGCCTCTATATATTTAGTGTTGTACTATAGAATTGTCTATGAAGTTCAGTGTGAGGTACAGATTAGTTTAAATGAATGAATTTCATATTTTTACAGCTCCTCTCTTTGTACGTGGCAAGGGTTCATCTATCTATGTTGTTAAAACAAATGGTGTTATCGTTTCTCTCTGTAGGTGAAAGAAAGAAAGAAAACAATGTTTCGTTCGTCACAAGATTCTTCTATCACATATAGATACCGTGCACTGTTATCGTAGTACAACAACGAAGAAAACAAAAAAAATGCTTTTTCTCTCTCAGTCTGTTGGGTGCAGGAGTCTAATGCCTAGCAGTTTCGATTTTTGTTGAATCATTCTCTTTCTTTGTTTCTCAAATAAAGGTTATTACATCAACGAATACGTCTAAAAGCATTTATTTTCTGTTCTTATAGTTATATTTAATAAAACAAAAAACAACACGTTTCCTCTCACTGAGGAGTAAGAACTGTGGGAGTTTTAGTTGAACTGCTTTTTCTGCGAAAATTTATACACGTTATACTTTCATTTCCAGAGATTGTGCTTGACAAGGTTCTCAAATAGAATTTGGAATTTGTATATCTGATAAAAAATCATTCTACCACATCCAATCTTTTTACAAAAAAAAAAAAATGAATAAAAGAGACACAGGTACGTCGTTAATCGGCGAGTGATAAACAAGGTCTACAGTCAAGTCACACGGTTGATCGTAATTTGATCATTTGATTTAGCTAGATTAATGACAAGTTCATTATATTCTACTTTTTGTTGGAATCCTTTTGGTACGCCTGTTTTGCCTCATCCACCGTTTCTTTTAGAAACTTTTCAACATCGTCCTTATCCAATTTTTGTATCTTCTGCCAAATTTCTTGAACATTGCCACTCTTCAGTAGATCTGCATTGTCTTCTAGTAGCTTTTTAGCTTTCGGCATTTTTTCTAATTGTTTCTGCGCGTTTTCCATTCCCCTACTCCAAGCCTGATCTCCCATCTTCTTCATTTCATTAATCTTCTGTTCCACGACTTTTTTAGTAGACTCCACCGTCTTCGGTGAAATTCCGTCTTTCGTAATGTCTTGAAGTTGCTTGTATGCATCTTCAAGCGCTTTTTTAGCTTCAGGTCCTTGTTTTTCGGCGAGCGATTTAAGTTGCCCGAGACTATCTCCTATTTGCTTCTTCAATTCTGGATGTTTTTCCAGAAGTTTTTGACCGATATCACCAGCTAGTGCTTGTCCCTCTTTTAGACGCTTTTGAAGAATTTCTACAGCTTTCTTACCGGAATCGACAGTTAATCCATTCTTCAGAACATCTTTGACCTCATTGTATGTGTCATTCATAATCTTTTCTATTTCTTTACCTTGAGTTTTGGATATGCGATCGAGATCGTCAAAGGTAGCCTCAACAGCTGCCTCGGCACCTGGTATAAGTTTGGCGTACGATTTTACTGTTGTTCGTAAAAAATCAATAGCTTGCTGCGATGACGGAGTAGATTCCATAACAGAGTCTTTTGCAGCTTTAAGTGTATCTACGGTTTGTTTTGCAGTACTAACAATTTCTCTCGTACCGGATAAGTGATACCATGCATAAACTCCACTTAAGGCGATAAGACCACCACCCAAACCTGCGACTACATGACTGCTACCAGCACCAGATGCTTGACTGCTTGCTGCACGAGAGATTTGACCATGACGGAGTGGTTGTATGACAGCGGAGATTTTCCATGCACGTGAAATAATACGCATTGAATTCATCGTTTGTGTTATGAGGTCAATGGGAAGAAACTTGTTGCTTCTTGTTGGTAATAAATATAACTATAAGAAGCAGAACAGAAAAAAATGCTTTTAGACGTTTCTGCTGATGTAATAACTTTTATTCGAAAAACCAAGAAAGAGAACGATTCAACAAAAATCGAAACCACTAAGGCATTAGACTCTTGCATCCAACAGACTGAGAGAGAAAAAGTATTTTTTTTGTTTTCTTCGTTGTTGTACTACGATAACAGTGCACGGTATCTATATGTGATAGAAGAATCTTGTGACGAACGAAACATTGTTTTCTTTCTTTCTTTCTTTCACCTACAGAGAGAAACGATGACACCATTTGTTTCAATAATGTAGAAAAAAGGAACTGAATGAACTTTTGCCACATGTAAAGAGAGCAAATGACTAATGAATCCTCTTCCACAATAGAAAATCATCCCATATTAGAAGACTACTACTGACTAGGGATGGCTCAGTGTCGATGCGAACGCTGAGATACTGACACTGATGACACGGACACTGACGATCACTGAAACACTGAAATACTGACAGTAGCGAACACTTGCCACACTGACGCACCGACGCTGACAATCACTGAAGCGCTGAAGCATTGACACTGATGTGCACTGACATACTGACGCACCGACACTGATGATCAGTGGAAGACCGACACACTGCCTCTAGCTAAGTATATCAATTTCAATATCTGTTTATTTTTGTTAGACGGGAGGAGTAATCATTTTTTTTTCTAAAATTGAAGTAAGAAAAAGTCTTTCTTTGAAGCATAGAAAAAAGTTCTCAAATAGTAAAATCACACAAACTACGCGTATCCTACTCTGTCTCCTTTTTTCTTCTCTTTTCCAGAAAGGATACTTGTTAATGTACACTTTCGGTGATAAAAGGAGTGCAAATAGATTAACAACACAGGAGTAAATAAAAAAAACAACGCGACATTGTACTAGAACGATCTAGAATATGTAGTGACCACGTATTCACTAGAGAGGTCATGCATGATTGAGACATAGAGAGAAAGCAAAAGAAGAACGAACCACTAGTGCATTTTAAAAGAGAAGTGTTTACGTGTGCGCTGTTTCACTGATTGTCAGTGTAGGTGCGTCAGTGTGTCAAGTGTTTGCCAGTGTCAGTATTTCAGTGTATCAGTGATCGTCAGTGTCGGTGTCGTCGGTTATCAGTGCACCGACACTGAGCCATCCCTACTACTGACAGACTTTCCTTTAGTTTTGGTTAAAAATCGGCTTGAGCTAATGTCAAAAATAGAAGATCATGGATGTCTTTTTTATTATTTTGAAAATATATTTATGGCGCAAACTCAGAATAAAATAAATTCATTAGTAAAATTTATTGGATATGACGCTCGGATCGAGATAACCTTGTTAACAGAAATGAGCAATATTCAATAGAGCACTAGCAAATAAGAAGATATCTCTTTTCACATAAGATATCCAGTGTGTGGACATTTTTTCGTCTCAGCGCATCGATTGAAACGAAAGAGAACAGAAAGAAATGCATGTGCGAAAAGAGATATCTCCTTATTTGCTAGTGCTCTAGTGCTAAACTATAAAATTCGTTTCTTCTGAAATATTAACCCCTTTTATACGCGAAGACACTTTTATTATAACTTCAGCTGAAATGCCTACTGCACTGAAATGCAAAATTTGTCTTTTTATTTCAATCAAATGTTAGGTTATTTATTGTCTTACATTAGAAAAAATCTGTCTTTTGGACTGCTGATCCTTCTTTTTTTAAAAACCTATTACATTAATATCCCTTGGAAAAGACCGACGGGTGTAAAAACATATAGGCAAAAAACAGTAGTCAAAAAACATATAGCCTGATCGGGATATAAATTCGATTTTTTTAAATAAAATTCATTAGTGAAAAACTGCTGATGTTCGCGGAAAGTTTTGACCACACCGCCGAAAAGGGTGTAAAAAACTGCATCAGATTCTTTTTTCCTTGTGACCAAGTCTTTTTTCCGGTCAGCAACCTTTTTTAAATAATTATCGAGGTTCATATTCTATATCTCAACTTACCGATATTTTACTTTTTTTACTAGCTACTTTTAACACTTTTTTGAAATATCTGAACGGTTCTAAACTACGGTTCTACTGCAAGAAAACTACATCCCGATCAGGATACATTTTTATATCCCAATTGGGGTATATAACACGATCGGGATATAGTTGCTCACTGCCATGGATCTAAGCGATTAGTCAAAACTTCAGTTTCTTAAAGGAATTGAGGAAAATCGTCGAGTTTCGTTTCTCGACTCATCGACGAAAATGTTTAGTACATTATACGATGATATGGAAGATTCTGTTTTGGTAGAAATTTTTCTTCTCTTGTTCTGCTGCCGGTATAATGTAAAGGTTGACTATCATACACTATAAAGTAGAAAGTTTTAATACTATATGATTTTGTAAGAATGCCTAGACAATCTAGGCACGAGAGTTGATGCGGCAGTGAAATAAATACACAGGAGAAAAAAAATGAAAAAATTTAGTGCTACATAGAAAACGAACTCTTTTCAAACATCTTAATAATTATCTTAACCCTCGGTTACCGTCCTCATTTTATAACTTCAACAGTGTCCTGGGGTCCGCGTGGACCCATCACATAAAATTACAAAAAATGATGGTTTTGCTCTACGTAAAGTATATATTTGTATACTATAGATTTCTAAATACTCTTCTCCCTAGAGCCTTATTTATCGCTTCTTATAAAGACAATATAAGTACGCACGATACGAAGAAAAGGATCGTCTCATACTAGTTTCATAACATAATGGAAGTCCAAGTAACAAATCATACATCCAATACATTTAGTCTGTGGTACAAATACTCTATGTTAGCACATACAGTTGTCTATGAATAAGAAAAGGAGATATTAGTTATTATGATGTTTAGTTTTATGTTCTTCTTTTGTATATGACCAACAAAGTTTAAAACAGAAATATCTCTACTATGTGGATCAAGTTGTCATTATTACCTTTACTATGATATCATCTATGAAAGGCTATCTAGTCTGCGGTTAATCCTGCCTCGATAGCCTTGATCCTCAGTGCCAAATACTTGGAGTATGTCCGGCACAATGCCAGGTTACCACCCATGAACCAGAATCTTGGATGACCACTGTTCTGCTACAACGTAGCAATCTCTCCTTCTTCGTTCAATCCCCATACATCTTTACATCTGTCTGCAACCTTGTTTCCCATGATCTTTCTTGTAGTTACTCTCATGTTTTGGTAGCCAGTAGCGGCAACAATGATATCGGCCTGAAGCTCAGAATCATCTATAAAAAGGATTCCGTTCTTAGTGAATTTCTTTATTGCTTGGCCTTGCTTGATTTTGATTTTTCCATCCGCAATGAGCTTCGAGCAACCGACATCGATGTAATAACCTCCCCCTCGCATAATGTACTTCATGAACAAACCGGTTCCATCGAATCCGTAGTCCAGCTTGAAGCCAACTTTTGTGAGACCTTCAAGCATGTCCTTATCTTTTTCGGCAATTCTCCTGGTGAGTTCTCGATGAATTTCCTTTTGAACTGGATATGGGATAGAAGCGAGAATCAAGTCAGCATCCTCGGTTGATGGAGCACCTTCCTCATACAACCCCTGGAATAAGATGTTAAGACCGTGGTTGGATGACATAACGTAAGTGGACGATCGCTGGACAATAGTAACGCTCTCAGCTCCTTGCTCATAAATGTCATGGGCGATGTCATGACCAGAATTGCAGCAACCGATGACGATGGCTTTCTTTCCAGTCCAATCTGCTCCATCGCAATGCTGGGATGAGTGGCAGAAGGTACCGGTAAAGTCATCAACACCCGTGAATTCGACGGTATTGGGTTCACCAGAGTGACCGGTGGCTTGAACGACGTGCTTAGGATGAAGAGTTCGAACAAATCCGTCTTCGCGGGTGACTTGGACTGACCAAACTTGCTTCGCCTCGTCGTAGCTGGCATGTTGGAGAGAAGTCCTTGTCCACACATTTAGTTCGAGTGACGAGACATAAGACTCTAACCATTCAGCGAGTTTGTCTTTTGGAATGAAGACAGGCCAGTGCTGAGGAAACGGGATGTATGGAAACTATTGTAATTTCGACAAAAACTCATTGATAGGTAGTCCAAAGTGTTCTCTCCAAAACAGAATCCAACCTAACTCTTAGTTTTTTCCGGTTTAGGTGTGTCATTGAGTTTCCTGCGAGTCTAGAATCACTATTTCGCTAGATGTGGTAATTTCGACAACGAATGTAGACATACCTAATCGAGATGCTGAGTCTTGGCAACATTTGTTTTACAAAAAAGTTTCAAAAACCTAGTGAAAATCTTCTTAGGTGGAATAACTCATTTTGCCTATTTCTGAGTGAAATTAAAATATTCATAACCTAGTCAAACCCGTCAAGATCCATCCAGATTATGTCTGAATATCAATATGTACTCTGTGCTACTTGCTCTATACGATACAGTTTAGTGAAAACTTCAGAGGTCAACAGAAATATGTTGGTTCTTGAAACGGTTTTGTAGAAACCTTCCAAAGTACAATAATGTTTTTACTATCCTCAAGTAAAACAACATATAGAGCAGATAACATCGAGTGCTACTTCTGGTTAATCCGATCAACGGCTTTATACAATTTATCATTATGATCCATTATATCCAAGTTACACCAGTCCTAAGAAGCATTTCAGACAATTTTTCACCCTATTATCGTCGAGCTGATCAAGAATATGTGTTTTATGCTGGAAGCACACACAAAGTGATTTTTGATTTCCTATTCACCTTTTGATAGTAGTTCTAATGAAATACAAAAATTGACCTCGTCTCTTCACACAAAAACTAGATAGGTTTACACAAAATTGTTTCGAAATTTTTTACACGGCGAGTCCAAGACGTCCATACTGCCCAAGCAAAAACGCCCCAATTTTTTGGGTTATTTATCTACAAAAACATTCATATACAAAATTCGAACAAGAAGACTCCCAAAATGAAAGCCGTGAAATAACAAAATCATGTCATCTATTAATTCATACACTGTTCGACTTTGCCCATTGGCCGTCACTCTAACTAAGAATGTATCTAAATCTGATCATGCAATTAGAACATTTTCTCTATTAGCGTATGAATTATCGCCACGTTTGAATGTTCTCTAAAAAAAATAAAAATCAAGTGAAAATCTACACCCCTCATACAACAGCAGCAATAGCTAACCGCATTACATACTGACCTGTGTGGTAAAGTTGAATATGCTGGAAATATTGGATGTGATCCGTGTTTTATGAACCAATGTAAGTAAGATAATTCACGTTAATCTGAATAAATTCATCTTGAATTGGCGTTCCTTTCCCAGTAGTATAAAAATGTACAGAACCTAACACTGTAACACTGCATACAAAAGTCGCGGTGTCATAACGCAAGCATATTCGAGTCACGGCAAGATCTTATTATAGCCGCTATACTCAATTATTGTTTGTTCTTCGCTGTATTTGGCGTTTGATCCAGATATAACAACAAAATGGCTCATGATGTGTATTTTTATCTTATTCGCTGTAGTTTAGTAGTTTTGCTATAAGGTAACGGAAAATGGGAGTAATTCGTATAATGGTCGATTAAAACTTCGATGTTTTCCCAAAGGTCGGGGAACGATTGGACCGCAAATCGAACCCCTTTCAAATCAGTCTTAAGTTCCCTTGACTTTAGTCTAGGGTCTTACAAAATAGTTGTCTGTGTGTACATAAGAGAGAAAATATTCAAAGAGATCATCTGAAATATGTACTGATGCAGAGAGGTAAACAGCTAAGCAACCGTTTTATGTAGGCCGGATGGTAGATGTCGCCAGATAGCAGTCAACTGTGACAATACAAAAAAATGCCTTAGTTAGGGCCTCAGCGAGCGCCGACCGACGGGAGGCGTGAGCATTGTGTTCGATTTATAAGTCACCAAAGAGCGTTCGCTTGCGCAGATCCAACTTAATAAAGTCAAGGGACCGAGCGAGTGGAGACAAGCGTTACCTTGTTATCTCATCTGCTGCAGTTTTTGTCCACGATTAACTCCAACATATTTTGACAGTTAGTCAGTGGTGATCTTCCAGCACGAGGAAAGATAAATAAAATGAATAGTTATAATGGATATTACGCCTGTACCAGGTATTATTAAATCAGCTTGTAAGTTTTAGCTTCATCATAGCACCTTATTTATTCTACGTTTAGGTGTGTTACACGAGGTTCACAATGTTCTCATCAGAAACACATGTTATATAAATATGCTGGGTTTATTCATAGCGAAAGAACAGAAGAACTTATGAATGAATGTTATGAATTAATCGAAGAATCAAACAGGAAAAATGTCAAAATCTTGGGTGTCAAAGGCATAGAATTATTGTTAAGCTAAAAAAACAGTAATTTATGTTTTACACTTTTGTTTTCTTTTAGGAAGATCACCGTTAAGTAGAATAATATCGATTCCAACACAATCAGTATTTGATTATCTGCACTTATGCTTAGAAGTTCATATTAAATATGTATTAGGAAAATGGTTATCAAATTTTAATACAACTACCATATCCAAAATAGATGGTTATTTAGCCAATATATCATATCCACACACATTTAATCGTACACCGCGTTATTTTAAAAATTGTTTGAATTGGAAAGCATCTTAAATACGTACATTTGTGTTATACATATCATTACCATCAACGGTATTATTTTTACCTGATTACTAGCATATCATTTTTCATTATATGTCATTTATGTCAGAACTCTTCGCTATTACGATGATCGTTCTGATACTATTTATATGAAAAAATATATTCATGAATATTGTTCATTATTATCAAGGATTTACGGTCAATGTAGTGAACTTTTTAGTATTCATGCTCATCTACATCTCTATCAACAAGCAAATGCACATAGTGGATTGGTTTTTCACTCTATGTTCAGTTCAGAAAGTATATTAAACTATTTATCAAAATTTGCTTATGAAAATATTGGACTTGGTGAACAAATAGTTTACTGGTACACAATTGATATACAACAGCAAGTAAAAACTTCCTATCCTCTATTTGAAAGAAATGAATTTCCTGTTGATAATTTGACTGATGCTAATTTATTAATTGATTATAAAAAAGAATTTCGTTTAGCATGTTTGAAGTATTTTAGTGATGATATTATCAGTAATAAAAAGATATTTTCTCGTTTTCAACGTGGTTTAGAAATATTTCATTCTTTATCATATAGAAATAGACAACAATCTGCTAGTTATTGTGTATCTGTTCGTAATTTAAATTGTTTTAATAGCATAATGTTTTTTTTCGAGTTTCGTAATGAGAAGTATTTGTTTCTTAAAAAATTAACTTGTGAAAAAAGAAAGTTTTCATCGTTGTTTTTATATGATAAAAAAACTATAAATTCATGGTCTCTTAGACTGGATAAACTTTATCGTTTTGTTCATTCAGCTGTGGATGAATATGTTGTTTTACCATGTTCATTTATCAGAAAAAAATGCATATTTATAAATCAAGATCTAGATTCTCTTCTTTGTACTGAAATAGAATATGAATTAGAACATGATTAGTTCAACCTTTTTATTTCAATTTATTTTAAAATCAATTTTGTGTTTAAGAATAGCTAACACGACTTTTTATTTATGTAACTTGTTTTTTGTTAAAGGTTTAAAAAAATATCCATGGATTAATGGCGTAACTTGACTTCATGTGCTTTGTAGTCTTCCCTTTTTATGTTATTATCTCAATGTAAACAATATCCCTAGATGGCATTATAATTTTGTTTTGAAGTTTTAAATCTGTAGTATGGAAAACAGATGAAGATGAGAAAAACGAGGAGGTAAAGCAGAAGAACGGTATTCGTTATATGTGATTTTTATTTGTTCAGCGACTCTTTCTATTCACTTTTCTCTTTGAAAACGAATGAAACGTATGAAACATTCTATTCATTAGCGCAAAATCGACTTTTTATACGGGGAACAGAATCGGTTCAAATTTTTTTTCTGAAGAGTTTATTATGTGAATCGACGGGCAGCAAAGTATCTCTTGATTCAAATCCCTTTTCGCATTTTGGCGCGAATAGTGGCGCCACTTAAAACGCGCTACTATTCGCGCCAAAATGTGAAAAGTGATTTGAAT